TGGACCCATGTTGTCCTGTGTACAGCGGACTACAATAGCCCTAAGAAAAACTGGCACATAATCTACTTTATAATTCCAGATACCGAGCAGCACAACAACAAGCTATCAATCATACACAGGAACATTGTGTTGTTTCCTTGAAACCCATTGAAATGATTGAGTCAGAGCTGGTAGCATCCCCCGTACACAAATACCTAGTGCAGTGTGCTGTTCCGAGCGGCTAGGGGGCGCCCTTCTTACATCCCTCTTTATCTGACATGAAATATGATTTCAATTAAAATGTGTAGAATTACCATCTGTTTGCTCTCTATCAGTCTGCTCTCCCTAGGTCTGGGAACACGACGTCTCTGAGATCTCCAAGACCTGAAACGCACCATATTATCTGCGTTGGAAACATTTAGTCATCACTCCGAAAATTGCAACAATTATACGGCGTTCCATTACGTTCTAATCGTTATGATCCTCCCGGCTACGAATGGCGGTCGCTGGTGGCGCTGAGCGAGCAATCATCACGCTTTAATGCATATAACTGAACTGTGAGATGATTACAAGACATTAAAGTGTGGAAATTCATAATGAATACACACAGATACAATCCCTTTGGATATAAAAATGGGAAACGATTAAAAAAAAAATCCCCTTAAGAACAGATTAAAAGTTACTTTGTGCAGGTGCAAAGGCTACATCTGTATTAAAACTTCAGGAAAAAAATAAAATAATGGAAAAAAATATAAAGGCTTGTTTGAAGAATCCAAAAAAAGGACTTTTACTGCAAAACTTAACTGTGATCTGGAGCTGTCCCCTCAACTGCTGCCGCAATTCCTTTCCACCATTAGATACTACCAGATTTATCAGTTGGCAGCCAGTGGAGAGGTAATCAAGCAACTGGAGCTCAAAATACCACTGTGACTACCACCTAATAAAATATAAATATACAGTATATACTGTACATAATAATAAAAAATATATATTTTATATATATATTTATTTTTTTTCAGCTCACCATATGTGAAGTGCATTTGATTGTCATCCAAAAGCAGCTACAGCCTAAAGAGAACATCCTGTCCCCTGCCAGGAAGGCTGTAGAGAAGAACCCGCTCTCCCTGTGGGGAAGCAGTGATCTCTCTGCAAAGGTCCAACACACCCCCTACTGAAAGCAACAGATGACTGCTCTGTTTTTCATTCACTGTCAAATCACAGGCTAAGGGCAGGTATGGCTCAGAGAAAATAAGGGCTCCATCTACACAGGGCACTTGGAAAACTCTTCTGAACGATGGAAACTGATTGCTGGAAAACATAGGTTAAAAAACATCAGCATAGCAGCGTTTGCATACTGCTTTTATGTGCGTCTATGTGCGTTTGCGTTTAGAAGCATTTTTAAAAGATAACCTCAGGAGACCTTCCCAAATGTCCAGAATGCACTGAAAAATAGTAAAAAAAAAATAACTATTTCAGATATTTTGAGAGGAATAGAGAGAGAAGAAGCAAAGAGAGCAGTATGTGTTGAGATGACCTGTCTTTTCTGGATGTATTCACTATGGATCCCATCATGAGCATAATGCAGCGCGTTCTACCATTTTTTTCCTTCACGCGAAACCTGGAACTGACTGCGCTGGTGTACCGGGTCCATTTGAATACATGGAAAATGCTTTGCATGCATTTCTGACGATAAAAAAAGGCTCTGGACAGCATCTGGACATGGAACAGTTAAAAAACGCTTCTAAACACAAACGCGGTTAACCGCGTTTACATGCATTTACAGTCAGGTCCATAAATATTGGGACATTGACACAATTCTAACATTTGTGGCTCTATACACCACCACAATGGATTTGAAATGAAACGAACAAGATGTGCTGTAACTGCAGACTGACAGCTTTAATTTGAGGGTATTTACATCCAAATCAGGTGAACAGTGTAGGAATTACAACAGTTTGCAAATGTGCCCCCCACTTGTTAAAGGACCAAAAGTAATGGGACAATTGGCTTCTCAGCTGTTCCATGGCCAGGTGTGTGTTATTCCCTCATTATCCCAATTACAATGAGCAGATAAAAGGTCCAGAGTTCATTTCAAGTGTGCTATTTGCATTTGGAATCAGTTGCTGTCAACTCTCAAGATGAGATCCAAAGAGCTGTCACTATCAGTGAAGCAAGCCATCATTAGGCTGAAAAAACAAAACAAACCCATCAGAGAGATAGCAAAAACATTAGGCGTGGCCAAAACAACTGTTTGGAACATTCTTTAAAAGAAGGAACGCACCGGTGAGCTCAGCAACACCAAAAGACCCGGAAGACCACGGAAAACAACTGTGGTGGATGACTGAAGAATTCTTTCCCTGGAGAAGAAAACACCCTTCACAACAGTTGGCCAGATCAAGAACACTCTCCAGGAGGTAGGTGTATGTGTGTCAAAGTCAACAATCAAGAGAAGACTTCACCAGAGTGAATACAGAGGGTTCACCACAAGATGTAAACCATTGGTGAGCCTCAAAAACAGGAAGGCCAGATTAGAGTTTGCCAAACGACATCTAAAAAAGCCTTCACAGTTCTGGAACAACATCCTATGGACAGATGAGACCGAGATCAACTTGTACCAGAGTGATGGGAAGAGAAGAGTATGGAGAAGGAAAGGAACTGCTCATGATCCTAAGCATACCACCTCATCAGTGAAGCATGGTGGTTGTAGTGTCATGGCGTGGGCATGTATGGCTGCCAATGGAACTGGTTCTCTTGTATTTATTGATGATGTGACTGCTGACAAAAGCAGCAGGATGAATTCTGAAGTGTTTCGGGCAATATTATCTGCTCATATTCAGCCAAATGCTTCAGAACTCATTGGACGCCGCTTCACAGTGCAGATGGACAATGACCCAAAGCATACTGCAAAAGCAACCAAAGAGTTTTTTAAGGGAAAGAAGTGGAATGTTATGCAATGGCCAAGTCAATCACCTGACCTGAATCCGATTGAGCATGCATTTCACTTGCTGAAGACAAAACTGAAGAGAAAATGCCCCAAGAACAAGCAGGAACTGAAGGCAGTTGCAGTAGAGGCCTGGCAGAGCATCACCAGGGATGAAACCCAGCGTCTGGTGATGTCTATGCATTCCAGACTTCAGGCTGTAATTGACTGCAAAGGATTTGCAACCAAGTATTAAAAAGTGAAAGTTTGATTTATGATTATTATTCTGTCCCATTACTTTCGGTCCCTTAACAAGTGGGAGGCACATATGCAAACTGTTGTAATTCCTACACCGTTCACCTGATTTGGATGTGAATACCCTCAAATTAAAGCTGACAGTCTGCAGTTAAAGCACATCTTGTTTGTTTCATTTCAAATCCATCGTGGTGGTGTATAGAGCCAAAAATTTTAGAATTGTGTCAATGTCCCTATATTTATGGACCTGACTGTATAAGCGTTTGAAACACCGGTGAAATATACTACTGAACGCAAGTTTGGTGCATTCAAAAAAAGACTGTAAACTCAACTGCCTGTAAATGACGATGTGTACATGGACATATAGGAAAACATAGGGAGAGTTCAGGGGTTGCTGAGAAAAACGCTGAACAGCTCCTGAACGTCAGTTTATCAGCTGCACTGTACATGAGCCCTAAGTTGAATGTCCCTGGGGGGGAGATATTTACTATAACTGGAGGGTGCAAACTCATGTGCAACTCTGCAATGAAACCAATCAACTTCCAGGATTTCTTGTCAAAGTTTAATTGAATAAGCTGAAGTTAGAAGCTGATTGGTTATCATGCACAGCTGCACCAGATTCAGTGCATCAGTTTTACCCCTGGTTCACATATATGCGGCCGTGAGGGCACAGTTATGAATGATACTCATTGGGAAACATGGGGTGAGACTTGTCATGCATCTTTCAACTGCAAAGTCGCATGACAAGTGGCACAAGTGTGAATGGGCTCTAAGTAAATCTCCCCCCTGGTGTTATTAGCCTGGAGGACTGAGGACATATAGTGGCCGAAAAGAAGAACTTCAGATTAAAGTTCAGTATTGGAGCAAAAGCTATTTTTTATTTTATCATTTGATGCACTTTTATTTTTTTTTATTAATTTAGACTGGTGTTTGGTGTTAATGCCCAAATCTGGCAAACTTAAAAATGATCCCTGGCATTGGAGCTGTTTCCATATTGCAAGGGTTAATTACACATTTACATCTAGGGAACAAAAAAGATAGACTTACCTGATCCTCCATTCTTCTGGGCTGGTAGAACAGTCTCCCATAGCATCTTCTTCCCAATTTTCCAGCAGTCTAAGTTCCTGACGTCATCAAGACCAATTCAGGGTATAAACCCCTGTACTGGACATGATGATACCATGGGATAGTCCACCACTGGAGCATGGGGGGGGGGGGGGGCTCCATCTGCTGGGGGAATGGAGGGTCAGGTAAGCTAAATTAAAAAAAATCTCTACCCTAGACTAAACAAGCAATTAATGCTTGGCAGTGTGCAATCTGCCCCTAACGCAAGGGATAGTATTTAGGTTTCCCAGAATTGGGCTTTAAAGTGTTACTAAACCCACAATAGTAACATCCGTCTGTATATGCAGCAAAGCATGCTTGTTATACTCCCTATGGAACCTAAGGGGTAATCCTCTGCATTGTGTAAAAAGACTGTTTGATCCTGTCTTCTCTGATCCTCCCCTTCTTCTGTCCCCAATCCATCTCCTGATAGTACAGAGCCCTAGGAGTCACTCTGCACATACTCAGTTTAGTGTGTATTGCTAGAGAGTTTTTTTTTTCCTTTAGGGAGAGTGCTTATGATCAGCACAGGGCCAATCAGCACTGTCCAGACAGAGGGTCAGAGGTTCTGCAGCCTCATAGGACAGTCAGAGGAGAATAAAAACTCCTCCTACAAGCTTTAACCAGTGCTCATCTGGACACTGATAGAAGTCACAAGACTGCTCTAACTGCTGATGAGAAAAGGAATTTAGCAGTTTATATTTACTAAAATAATTGCATTTCCATGTTGTGTGTACTGTGGGAGACCAGATATAGTGAATGCAGGGTCCGGGGAGACCAGATATAGCGAATGCAGGGTCCGGGGAGACCAGATATAGTGAATGCAGGGTCCGGGGAGACCAGATGTAGCGAGTGCAGGGTCCGGGGAGACCAGATGTAGCGAGTGCAGGGTCCGGGGAGACCAGATGTAGCGAGTGCAGGGTCCGGGGAGACCAGATGTAGCGAGTGCAGGGTCCGGGGAGACCAGATGTAGCGAGCAGGGTCCGGGGAGATCTGATGTAGTGGGGTCTGGGGAGACCAGATATAGTGAATGCAGGGTACGGGGTGGCCAGATATGGTGAATACAGGGTCCTGGGTTTAGTATCACTTTAAGTGGACTGAATGTGAAGTTTCTATGCCATAGGAATATTGATAAATATAGGAAATTAATGAGGTTCACAGAGAAACCTCTAAGCCAGCCTGAGCATGGACTGGTCCCCAGAATTTGCATGGCTGGGCACCTCTGGTTTCCTGCACAGTGATAAAAATAAAGTGTAACTGACGTCTTTTTATCGCCTACAGCTGCTTAGCCATCTTTATTGCCGCTATGGCCACTTAGCATATTAACATCTTTTTTTTAGTGTGGCGGCTTGCTGTAAAACACATGAACATCCCCGGGACGATATTTTGTAATAAATGTGTATAAAATATTGAGCGTTATCCAAGGAAATAAAAATTTCACAAATAATGTTTCTGCCCGGACCTCGCTCCCCATAGTCTGTGCACTCAAATTTATGGTGTTTGAATCTTTCTATGTGATGTCAGAAGATCCTAGAATAAAACACTGACTGTATCCCGCCCATTCCCCTTCCTTTCACTGACACCCTGTCCTCTGGGGAAGAGCCATTTTCTTTATCGTACATCACGGGACACAGAGCAGGCTATTAATGACAATGTGGGTTATCGGCCACCTATAGGTGAATGGACACTGGCTGACCAATCCGAGAGGAGGGTCTCCCCTATATAACCTCTCCTATACAGAAAGTACTTCCGTTTTTTTTCTCCAGTGTCTGTAAGGTGGATGGTCACTGAAAGTGTTGCTGTGCTCTTGGAGATCCAGAGATCCAGAACGGTTCCATTGGAGAATCAGGGACTTTGATCGGATCCATTCAGAAGGCTGTAAGCCAAAATGGATGGTATCTGAGCCTCGTTGGATAAGGAGAAGAATCCTCAAGGTTTTGCCTGTCATGCAGCCTTACAGTGCTTGACCCCACTCAGGTGGAGCCCTGTGCAGTTCTAAATCTGAACAAGGCACTTCCAGCGGGGTGCTATACAGGTCCAAGGCAGTGCCCGTCAGTATGGGGACTGAGTCCTTGAAGGTCTGTATGACAATGCCCACCATGATGGGTGAAGGTTGGTGCCTGGGAAGTCAGGGACTGCGGTGGGACTGCTAAGATTTCTCCATTTTTTTTTTTTTTTTTCCTCTCTCTGTAAAGAGAAACAACAAACCTGTAAATTGGAGGGAAAAGGGGAGGTGTTGTTGACTGAGGTTTCTACCAGGGGAAGTGTTCGTGATTGTTCCAGAGATGTGCTTGCTTATTTGTTTTTGGCCACTAGAGGGAGCACAGCCGGCCATCGGCCATATGGTGCATGCTCCGTGCGCACTCTGTGGGTGTGCGTGCGCACGAGGGTTCGCACGTGCATGCGTGGTATTATTATTATTATACAGTATTTATAAAGCGCCATAGTTCGCTCAGCGCTGTACATTACAAAGGGGGACAGAACATGTGACAGAACAATAACAATACAATGCAAAACATGAGGGGATTGAGGGCCCTGCTCTTTCGAGCTTACAATCTAGGAGGGAGGGGATGGTGGTACAGGAGAAGAGTGGTAGTGGCTGGAAATGGAAGTCTGCCATATTTGTTTATCAGGGGGTCAGGACAAACATGCTGCTGGGGAGTTTCATGTGGCTGGAACACAGAGCAGGCTATTCAGTAGGGACACGTGAGTACTCCCTTGAGGGGGAAGCATTGGCCAGTCAGTCTGGAGCCATCCTTGGTAGCTCATAAGGTCAGCATTTGCATTGAGTATTTTTTCTTCACCACACTACTTGTATAGCTGTATCTTGGGGTCTGTGTTTACTAATTTAGGTGCACAGGTTTTAGGCTATCTGAAGTAATGTCTTCCAGAAAGCGGCGTGGGGTAGGTGCAGCAGGAAAGGGCACTAATGTGCCGCCGCCAGGTCCTGGGGAGCCTAGCCAAAGTTCTACTGTAATATCCTCTCATGAGAGGCCAGAACCAACTGGACAGTCTGAGCCGCTGCATCTATCTGGTGTTATGGCTAGTACTGGCGCATCTGCCTCAGCATATGTAACCAAGGATGATCTTGCTTCAGCCTTAGCAAGGTTAGAAGATAAGATTGCTGGGATGATTGCATCGGTTTCTCAAGGGACTAAGCAGCGGGATAGATCCCCATCACTAGAACCACCAATCCTGGAGCAGTAAGGGGGGGCCTGAGGATGAGGAAGAGCTGGAGGAAGATCAGGCAGTAGAATTTCTGTCTGAAGAGTCACAGCCTGAGGAGAAGCAGGAGGTCTCTGTCTCTCAGTGTCAGAGATTTTTAGTCCAGGACCTCACTGATATGGTACGGTCTGGATTCAGGCTACCATGATAGAAACTATTGTGGTTACTTATTCTTCTCTGGATTCTTTGAAGCCTCCACAGAGTATTCAAGCCTTACCGGTGGATCCTCTTCTGGAGCAAATTGGGTATGCTGACTGGGATCACCCAGACACTGTTTTTGTTCCACCACAGAGGTTTTCTTTTTTTACCCCATGGAAGAAAAGTTTGTTAAGAAATGGGGGTTGCCTGTAGTGGATGCAGCTGTTTCATCCCTGAATAAATCTTTAACATGTCCTGTGGATAATGTACAGTTTTTTCAAGAATCCAGCAGATAAGAAGCTGGAATCTCTCTTTAAGGCCTCCTTCTCCCTGGTCGGTTCTGCCACACAGCCAGCTGTCTTTCTGACTGTGTCAAGCAATGGCTTGGAATACCATCAGTGTAGTGGGAATGCTCGGCTGAGGATTTGGAGGGTTCCGCGTGCTTTATGTTTTGCAGTTGATGTTCTTAAAGATTCAATTCAACAAATTCCTCACTTGGCCCTCTTCAGTGCACATGTGTAGGGTTTTGTGGCTGAACTGCCATGCGGAAAATTGTAGGTAGGTTTTCCCTTTCATGGGGAAAATTTGGGCATATACAGTATATCCCAAAGATTTCAGGGGGAAAAAGTTGTCTTCTGCCCTTTTTAAGAGGAAATCCAAATGTCCTTTTAAGGTGTCAGGGGTTTTGGTTGCTGGGCCCTCATCTACCAGGCAGTCATTTTTCCACACACAGGTCCCAGCCTCCATAGATAGATCTCAGAATCAAAACCCAAGGAGGCTCTGGGTGCAAAAGTCATCTAAGACAGATCCAAAATCTGCCACCTTATGAACGGGCGCCCCCACTCGTTCGGATAGGGGGAAGGCTTTTGAATCTTGTGGAGGGCTCTAATCCAAGACAAATGGGCCATTTCCATGATTTCTCTGGGGTACAGACTAGAATTTTGGGTCTTTCCCCCTCCCCGGTTTTCTAAAATCAAATGTACCTATAAATCCAGAGAAAAGAAGAGCTTTGTTTCAGGCACCCGATTGCCTAATGTCTTAGTGAGTGATCACAGAGGCTCCAGTGGACGAAAGGTTTCTGGGGTTTTATTTAAATCTGTTTACAGTCCCAAAACCAAATGAGCATGTAAGGCCCTATTTGGACCTCAAGGGGCTAAATCAGTTTCTAAATGTCCGGTCTTTTCGCATGGAAATCGGTTTGGTCAGTACTAGCCTTACTACAGGAAGGGGATTTTTTTTGCATCCATAGACATCAGGGATGCATACCTGCATGAACCGATATTCATTCCTCACCAGATAGTTCTGTGGTTTGCAGTAGGGGCTCAGTATTTCCAGTTCATAGCACTACCATTTGGGCTGGCCCCGACTCCCAGAGTTTTCACAAAAATTCTTGCTCTGGTGTTGGGGCTATTCAGAACTCGGAGCGTATCGGTCACAGGTTATCTAGGTGATCTCTTGCTCAGAGGTTGGTCAGTGCTAGGTCTGAAGCAGGATATGGTCCTTTTACAATGCAGATCCTGGGACAGCTGGGCTTGGTGCTCAACTTGTTTGGCCCTGGAACCAGTGCAGAGCCTGAAGTATTTGGAGATGGTCCTAGACACAGCTCAGACAAAGGTATTTCTGCCTCCAGGGAAACGTTGCGCCTTGAGGAATGAGGTTTTCAGTTTGAAAGTCAAGAGGTATCCTTCAATTCAGCTCTGTATGAGGTTGTCGGGGAAAATGGTGTCCTTGTTCTAGGCTATTCCCTATGTCCAATTGCACTCCAGACCGCTGTAAAGGTACATTCTGTCTGTTTGGAACAAGAAGATTCCGGCCCTGGATTACTGCATATCTCCGTCTCCAGAGGTGCGGCAGAGCCTGAATTGGTGGTTGATAACTCACAGTTTGGAGAAAGGAAGGAAGATCCTTTCGGCCAGTGGTGTGGAAGTTGGTAACCACCGTTGCCAGCCTTTCAGGTTGGGGGGCAATTCTGGAGGAGGCCACAGTTCAAGGAACATGCCTTCCACGGGAAAGGGTTCTTCCCATCAATGTTCTGGAGCTTCAAGCAGTGAGACTGGCTCTGAGGTATTGGACATCCAGGCTTCAGGGTTGACCTGTAAGGATTCAATCCGACAATGCCACAGCAGTGGCATTCGTCCATCACCAGGGTGGTACCAGGAGTCGAGGTGCTCAGAAGGAGGTGAACTACATTCTGACCTGGGCAGAGAGATATATTCCAAGTGTGTCAGCAGTATTCATTCCAAGTGTGGAAAATTGGCAGGCGGATTATCTCAGTCACCGGCAGTTGATTTCAAGGGAATGGGGGGGCTTTGCATCCCAGTGTTTTCAAGGAAATCTGCCCGGCGGTGGGGTTGCCTAAATGTAGATCTGTTGGTATCCAGGTTCAACAACAACGTCGGCCTTTTTGTGTCCAGAGTAAGGGACCCTCGAGCAGCAGGGGTAGATGCCTTGGTGATTCTTTGGAACCACTTTTCACTGATTTATGCCTTTCCTCCGGTCCAGCTGCTTCCACGTCTCTTACACAGGATTCAGAAGGAGTCTATTCCAGTTATTCTGATTGCTTCGGCCTGGCCCAGGAGGGCCTGGTACGCGGACATAGTGAAGATGGCAGTGGATGGGCCGTGGTCCCTGCCACAGCGGCCAGACCTGTTGTCTCAGGGTCCTATATTGCAACCAGTTT